GCTCCAAGGCACCAACAGGTTGGCAAGCACCCTCCCACACACAAAGTTACCTGGTCCCTGAGACGAAAGGCCACCCGGACACGTCATCCCCCACTGCTCCAGGTTCACACTCGGTGATGACATGCCTCCGACACCCTCCAGTTACACCCAAACTACCACTCACTCTCTCAAGAGCTTCTCCAAAAGCAGGCACATGGCCACACATTGATCTATGCTCACATCCTGTGACGCTCCCTCATACTCCCTGACTGTTTCACAGACTGACAAATGCACTACAGGGACACACTCACAGAGGCCTCAGCACACACACTTCACATGCTGGAGATGGATTCGTGGCTGCTCCAAGCTCCTGGTTGACTCCCTGAGTTTGGGGTTCTCTCTCCCAGTGAGTGCAGATTCCTGAGTTTCCCCTCATTCAAGGCAGTGGAGGCTCATTTTCAGGAAGAGGGGCACCTGTGTAGATGTAGGAAGGAGACAGTGCAGCTCTTGGCAGCTGGAATGGGGGATCCAATGTGTGTCCTGTGTGTGTGCCACTGCTCCTGGGACCCCTTAATCTGCCTGGGACTGGGGGGCTACCATATGCAGACACAACTAAGTGAGAGATTGTGAACTGCTAAGGACAGTCCTTCCCCAAGTCTACGGGATCCTCTTGTCAACGTGGAGCTGTGGGTGTGCCCCCCAACATGGTGTACCTGTGTGTGTGCGAGAGTGTGGCTGCCACCCCGGGACAGCTTGTGAGACTGTGGGGACAAGAGTGTGACCAGGCCAATGTGGCTCAGCTCGCAGTGGTGTGAGGGCCTCTGAAGGACTGTCTCCAGTTGTGCTACTGAGAAGTGTGGCATTGTGCAATTATATGCCCAATTGTGTGACCATGTGACTGTGGAACCCTGTGAGCGTCCAGCTCTGTGAGCAGGGCTAAGGAAAGCCCTGAGTGCCTGAGTGTGGGTGCGCTGGGGCCTAGGAGCCAGTGCCTAACCTTGCCAAGAGGACCTTGGGTGTGACCGAGGCCGGCCTTGGTGAGCGGAGTTGGGGCCCTCCGTGTGGGACCACGGGCAGGATAATGGAGTTGCCTAGTTGTTTGTGTGGATCTACCCACGCGGAGATTGGGGGCTGGGGGAGGCTGGATAGGGACGGAAGTGGGAAGCAGGAAAACAAGGCAGATGGGCACAAAAAGGGAGACCGGGCCACAGCGAGCTTCCGCACTTTGGCTCCTGAGCCGCACCCGGCACCGAGCTCCAAGCGGACCCAAAGGGCCTGGGACCTGAGGACTGGGAGGCTCTAAGTAAACCGCCGGCCTCTGATGGCCTCCCCTCTGGGAAGGGGACCCTAACTGACCTTACCAGCGCCCAGATCTGGCCTGCGCCATCCCAGCACGGGAGGGGGCCGTTTTTCACAGCAAGAAGGAACTAACTACATTGGGAGGGGAGGGGGGAGAGGAGAGTGGGGGAGAAGAGATCTTTTAAGTGAGCAAGTCGGCGCAGGGAAAAGCGAACGGGGCAGAAGCAGCGAACTACTTGGGCGGGGGCCTTGGAGGTAGCTACATTTCTTGGGAAGAGAAGGGATTGAGGGGAGCAGGAACCGATTTCGTTCTTGAAGAGGGGCAGAGAGAAGCGGGGTGTGGGGACACAATTAACTAGCTATATTCGGGGGGCGGAGTAGGGAGGGAACAGGGATCCTCGGGGGACAGGAACCTTTGAGCCCCAGAGACCGCCGACTCCCGGTGCATCTCCAAGCGCCGAGTGCTGCCCTTCCCACCCCAGGGAGCAGCGGCCCTGGGCCGCGGCGCGGGGTGGGGGCAGTAAGCGCAGAGGCCGGGCTGCTTGGAGCAAGCTCTGAGTGGCATCTGCCCCCCCCACTCGGCCCCCGCCCCCACCTCCTCCCTCCCTCCCCCCCCGCACCCCCTCCGGATGGTGAGGCGAGAGCGCTGCGCGGGGCGCACTCGGGGGGTGGCGCCGCCGGAGCGGGCTCCCCTATGGACGAGCAGAGCCCGCTGTCTCCCAAGGCCAACGCGTTTAGTATCGCCTCTCTGATCGCAGCGGCGGCGGAGCGCGCCAGCCGGGAGGCTCTGGGCCCCCCGCAGCTGGCCGCCCCGGGCCTGGCCAAGGCGGCAGCAGGAGCGGGCGGCCCCCCGCAGAGGATGCATTTCAGCACAGTCACCAGGGACATGGAAGGTAAGGGAGACAGAGCTCGGCCCGAGCCCGCTGGCTTGGGAGCCCCTCGCTCTTACCAGGTGGGAGGTTCTCTCTCCCTCTGGGTGAGGGGTCCCTCGCGCCCGCCGGGTGGGGGGCCCTAGTTCCCGTTGGGTGAGGGGGCCCTAATTCCCTCAGGGTGGGGCGCCTCGCCCCGGCTGACGCTGCCCAGGAGTGGCCAGACTCCCTCCAGGCTGCCCTGACCCAGGGGGTCGAAGTTGCACCCGGCCAAGCCGGTCCGGCGGCAGCTCTTGCTACAGTCCCCGATTATTCGAGGCACGGGAGGTAGGCTGGGAGTGGGGGGCACGGACTGGCCAAGTGACTGACCAGCCGTCTGGCCTTGGTGCTGTGTAGACCCGGCCTGAATTTTCAGAAAAGCGACGAAAGCGGAGGTCGAACCCTAGTAGGCTTGCCCCAGGCAGAAGAGAGAGAATAGAAGCCCTCAGGGCACGGGGCTTTGGCCTCCCTCCATACAGACACGCAAGCCCCTCACCCCCCCCCCACCTCCACCTCCAGCCTCCGTGGGGAGTCAGACAGGATCTCTGAACAAGGACTTTTAATTGAGAACGACACAGAACCCCGCTGGGGCACTTGTGATCTTGTTCCGTTTTGGAAGTCGTGCCTTCCACGGCTCATACAGGTTCCTACCAGCCGGCCGGAGGCGGTTCAGGCTCCCTGGCCACCCAGGCCACGCTCGCTGGTTTCGCCGCAGAGATGCCTGGGGAGGCAGGGGAGATGAGTCCGCTCCCTGGAGGAAAAGATAGTGAGACTGTCAGTCAGTCAGTCGGACAGACAGACAGGCAGACACCTAGATGGGGATTTGAGAAGCAGACACAGGAAAACAGAAGAGTGGTGAAACAGCCTGCTTGTGAGCATGCAGAGGAGAGAAGAAAATAAGAGAGAGAAAGACAAAAACGGAGAAGAAAGGAAAAGGAAAGAAAGAGAAAAGAGAGAGAGAGAAAAAGAATCACCCAAAGTACTCGAAAGAACTGAGAAAGAAGAAAAAGAGGAAAGAGAAGTGGCAGAAAAGGGCCGAGAGACAGAAAGCTTAGAGGAAAGAAATTAAGGCGGGGAATTTTTTTAAGGGAGGACCAAGGGAAAAATGCAAGAAAGAAATTAAATGCAAGAAAGAAATTAAATACTAGAAAGGAGGAAAAAGAAAAGTAGAGGGGCAGAGAAGAAAAAGACGAGGAAGAAAAAAGGTAAGTTTAGGAAGAAGAACGGAAGGAAAAAGAAAAGAGGAAGAGAGAAATAAAGAGGAGGAAAGGAAGAAACTGAAAGAAACAGGGGAGACCACGAAAGAGACAAAAGAGAGAAATGAAAGAAGACAGGATAAAAGGGAGAAATAAATAAGAATAAGAAAAAACGAAAAAGAAAGAAAAGAAAAAGAAGGAAAGAGAGAAAAAGGAAGAAGAAAAAACAAAGACAGAAAAGGAAAGAGAAAGAAAGGAGAGAAAAGAAAGAACAAAAGAGAGAAAAGAAAGAAAGAAAAGTAAGAGAAATGGGGGAGAGGGGACAGAGAAAAAGACCAGGTTAGAGGAAAGAAAGGAAAGAGAAAAAGACCGGTAAGAAGAAAAAAAGAGAGAAGAAAGACCGAGAGGCAAGAAAGCAAACAAGAAACAAAGAAAAAGAGAAAAAGGGAGACATAGAGATTAAAAAGAAGAGGCAAGAAGAGAAAAGAATGACTGGGAGAAAGGGACATTAAGGGAGAGAGAGAGAGAGAGAGGGAGAGAGAGAGGGAGAGAGAGAGAGCCAGAGACAGAGAGAGACAGAGAGAGACAGAGACAGAGAAAGAGAGAGACAGAGAGAGAGAGACACAGAACCAGAGACAGAGAGAGACAAGGTTGAAGAGGAAAGAAAAACCAAAGTTGGGGCCCAAGGTCCGGGTCGAGATCGCGGGTTAGAGGGGCATCGAGAACGAGAAGGAGTCGCAGGTCTGAGGGGGCCTCTCTCTCTCGATAACCTCCCCTGCCTGTGGAGCTCGCGGGGGAATAGAGAGGAGCCGGAGACATCGGCTTGGCAAGCAGGGCCAGGACATCAAAGCCGGGGGATCCCATTGTCTGAACCCCGGACTGGGGCCCCGCGGACGGGGCTGGGGTGGCGGACTGGGGGAGGGGAGGGGGCGGGGACGGAGGGCGGGCGAGGGGAGGAGGGCTCAGCCCGGGCGGGGGGGGGGTGGGGCACCGCTTCTCCCCCAGCTGGGCGCCCAGGGTGCCCCGGGCAGAGCCGGGAAAGAGCGCGTTGGGCTGTCAATCAGGGAGTGGGGGCCGCGGGCGCGTTTACCTGCGACACTTTATCTCCAGGAGAAATCGGAACCGGTCTGGTGGCCGGCCGGGCAGGCGGGGAGGCCGCGGGAGCAGATAAGACGTGCGGCTCAACGCAGCAGCTGGGCGGCCCGAGAGGGAGCCGGGGCGGGAGCCGGAGTCGGAGCCGGGGCGGGAGCCGGAGCCGGAGCCGGAGCCGGAGCCGGGGCAGGCCCGGGGCGCAGGGCAGCAGGCACCGCCGCAGCCACTGGCGGGGCTCTGGAGGCGAGCCGAGCCCAGCCTGGGCTCCGGCGATGCGCGGGCGGGGGCGCCCAGAAGGCAGCGGTTGCGGCCCCGGCAGGAGGGGGAGCCGCCAGTAGGCGGAGTGGGTGGGTAGGTGGGTAGGGGGCGGCGCGGCTCTGCGCAGGGCGGGCGCTCTAGCCCCGGCCGGGCCCCAGCCCCAGCTCGGCTCAGCTCGGCTCAGCTCCGCTCGGCTCCAGCCTCAGCCCCAGCCCCCAGCCCGACTGCAGCCTCCCTCGCTCCCTCCACGCTCCGCAGCCCAGCCTCGGCGCGCAGGGCCAGGGCGGAAGCCCGGTGCTCGGAGCCCGCAGGCCCGGGAAATGATCTCCACCATCTCGAGCCCGTGGCTTACGCAGCTCTCTCACTTTTGCGATGTTACAGCCTTCACTGCCAACAGCCTGAGCAGCCTCAGCGCCTCCGGGGGCTACCACCTCTCGCCTTCTCCGGCTGGGGACCCCTACGGGCAGCACGAGCCTCCGCAGCCGCAGCCGCAGCAGCAGGCGCCCCCGCGCTACGATCCCTGCGCCGCCGGGGCAGCCGCCCAGCCCCACGGATACCCCTTCTCGGCCCCGGGCGGCCGCAACCCTCCTGCCGGTGGCGGCGAGCCCGAGGGCGCCGGGGCCAGCTGTGCCTCGGCCGGGCCTGGCCCGGGGGCCGTGGCTACCAAGGCGCCGGTGAAGAAGAACCCTAAGGTGGCCAACGTGAGCGTGCAGCTGGAGATGAAGGCTCTCTGGGACGAGTTCAACCAGCTGGGCACCGAGATGATCGTCACCAAAGCCGGCAGGTCAGGGCTGCCTCCCTCCTTCTTTCCCTCCCCACTTTCTCTCCCTTCCTCCCTCCCTCTCTCTCCCCGGGCTCGTTTCTCTCCACGTGGCCAGTTGTCTCGAGCTGAGGATGGCCCCCGGGCCGTGGTCCCTTTCCAAATCCGTTTCCCCTTAACCTCATACCCCGTGGGTGTTTAAGGGATTGAGATTACGGAGATCAGCTGAGGCCAGCCCTATTCATTTTACAGACTGGTAAACTGAGTCTCTAAGCAGAGAAGGGACTGTGTGTGTGTGTGTGTGTCTGTGTAAGGCCGAGGGTCTCCTTCCCCCCTGAGCCCCTTCCCCTTTAATGTCATTTAAAAGCCTAGTCCTGTGCCTGCATCTAGCTGAGGGGGTAATTGAGAGCGGGTCAGGGAATCCGGCGACCTTCAGGTAGCAGGGGTCCCTTTTCTCTCTTTACCTCCCCCCCTCCCCCAAGCGAGCTCTCTTTATAAACAGACTTGTGCTTGGCCAGTGAGGGAATGAGACGGCGGAATAGTGTAGGAGAAGCCCAGGAGGGCAGAGGTCCCGGCTGCCCTGGATGGTTTGGGGGGCGTCCTCCTAGCACCCGGGGTTGGGCTAGTATTGAGGTTCGGATCCCAGTCCCGGCTCAGGAGCCCACCCCAGCTTCTGTTCAGTGCCAGAGAAGCAGCTCCTGCTCCTTGTAAATGCCAGCGATCCCGGCTCAGGCGACAAGGCCCTCGGGCTTCGCCCTCTCTGCAGCTGTCTCGCTGTGCTGCCCGCCCGCAGCAGGAGAGAGGCGGGCTGGGGGAGAGCAGGCTTTAGGGAAGTCAAGAGTGCCCACAGAGCCTTTGCCCAAGCGTTACCCAGGACAAGCAGCGTGCCACCCAGGGAGGCGCCCCCCCCCCCCCCCCCCCCCCCCCCCCCCCCCCCCCCCCC